GAAGTCATCCATTCTGATTGTGCTGGGTATATATTCATTTCTTGTTTTGATGAGCGTTTGGGGACCTTGAATTTGGGACCATCATTATTACGTGACCATGGATGAACAATGTGCAAAATCACTAGGCACCAAGTTGCTGGGGACAGCTCTGGTGAACTGTGCTAACCAGCTCTGAAATCACTGTGTCAGCTTGCTGACCACTAGCAAGATGCCAGCTATTGCTCATCCTCACACACACTTAAAAACTTCAGTAGCTTCTATTTCAGTTGTCTGAGTGGATGAGTCATGTTATGGTATTGATACAGGGGTTTAGTTTCCATTTCCTGAGCCTAATAACTTCTGAGAAATTAATTGAACATTTGGATATCATGTTTTGCATGAAAGGGTTGCCCAAGATTTTTGCTCATTTTTCTCTCAATTTGTTTATTTTTTTTTGTCTTTAACTTACTGACTTGTAGGAGTACTTTATATTCTACCAATATGGCTTTTGGCAGATATACATTTTATAAACATTTTCTTTCACTTTGGGGTTTGTCTCTTTACCCACTTGATGGCATCAGTTCATGGATAAACAACTTTACTTTTCATTTACTCCAACTTACCATTTTACTACATTTATTTTTCGGTATATTCTAAACATTTTACCTCCATTTGAATCATGAAGGTGCTCTTGTAAATTTCCACCCTGCTTATATCTATATTGACTTTTATGCATATTAAGTGGTTGATAGATTAAATGCAACTTACTAAAAAAATAGGAAAAGAGTATTTATCCACCCATCTGTCCATTCATTCATCCATCCATCCATTTATTTATTCATCTGAAGCTACTTCCAGATTGACCTGTAGTAATTTTTCAGGAAAGGTGGAGGATCAAGAACAGTGTGAAGGCAGTGGGAATCCAGTAGAAAGGGCCCAAATTGGTAACAATGACTGAACACATGGACCCTTTTTGTACCTTCTTGTGTATATTAGAAGTATTCTAAATGAAGTTACTGAGTGGCCTTGATGGCTCTTTGTAGACAGTTCTCATGGTAACTGAGGTGTCTGTATGCTGACAATGGTGAAACATTGGTTGCCTAATCCAAGGGGGCCATCCTGATTCTCAGACTACCTATGAGGCCCAGCCACAAAGGTGGGTGTGTCTCCTGCCCCAGTATGGAGAGGGAAAGCCCTCCAGGTCATTTTAGCACTCTTGCCATAAACTATTGTCTTGGCCACTGGCTTTGATACAGAAGAACAAGCTACTTAACCTATCTGCTATGGTGCCTGCTTGGCTCTAACATTTCCTACAGGCACAATCCTAGTCCCATAGATGTCACACAGTTATGGATCAGCTCCGAAGTGAGAGTGGTATGATGTGCAAAGCAGATACAAGCTCTGATGAATGTTCTTTCTGGAGTGAGGGCCCCCTTGTGGGAGGTAACCGAATCCATTACAGATTATGCTCGCCTCTCCCAACACAACCAATCAACATATGTCTCTCCAAAGAAGTGACCAGCTCATGATCTTCAATGTCTGTGCCAATGCTGGATACCCTGGGACCAGGGTAAAGAAGGCTTTTCTGGTTTTATCTGGAGTCCTATTATCTGGAGAGAGGGGTCCTATAACCCCTGCAACAGTCACCTTGCCATCCTTTATAGACCAGATTCCTGAGGCATTAGGCTTGGCTTTTTTGTTGAGAGGAATAAGCTGAGTTTAGGCAAGTTAAGTCACAGCTTGTTTCCCCTGAGCCCTGTCAGCCATTAGAAGGGATAAGCCACAAACTCCATTTTCTGATTTCAGATCAGCTCGACAAACTGTCAAAAATTATTTTATTTCCCTTTGGTCTAGCAAGATGAAAACAAAACCACAGGCCCTTTGAGTACTTAGCCCCTGCATTTAGTTATCTTTAAGCTGAAAGACGTAATCTAGCTAGATCCATCTTTCAAAGCCTTTGTTCCTTCTTGAGTGGAAAAAAAAAAAAGAAAAGAAAACTTGTTGTAAACTATTCTTAGCATAGAGTCTCTGTTTCCTTAGGTTTGGGACGTGTTAACTATGTATGAGCAGTGCAATAAGTTTCCAGAACTCTTGATCTCTAGCTGAGAGCTCATATCCACGATGAAGCAATTCTCTACTCCCCTCTAACCAGTCTGGTTTCCCCATTCCCCATCCTCCGAGTGACAGCAGGTATTGAGGGTGACTTTCTTGGGAAGTCCTGTTTGGGCCATCTCCTTTCAAACACCCACACCTATTTGGAATAAGCTTTTTGAAATATGGATCCTTTTTCCGAGGTTTAGTAGAGTTTGTTTTTGTCAAGCACAGTCTCTGAGAAAGGTTCCCAGGAGTCTATCTGCTTCCAGAAACAAGCTAGCCAGCAACTCTAGAGAGTGGTCTGCTCTCTAAGACTCAGCACAAAATAGGAAATAAAATAGTTATAACTCAGTGATTACAGACAAGGTGGCTGGCATCTGCCGCTGTGTCTTAAGTCAACACACACTCCCTTACTCCTCCAGAGTAAGGTGTTTGCTTAGAGCCCAACACTTTTCCATAGATTTGATCAAATTTCTTTCACCATCTTGGGACAGATTTCTCAGTTTGTCTTGTACAAGGGCATTATAAGTCTTGGAAGCAGCTTGGTCTAGCTGACTCTTCAGGGGGTCTAGCATGCACAGGTGAGGAAAGGTAATGGTCATCTCAGTTACGTGGAATGTGCTCTGGGCTATGCTCACCTATGCCCAGCCCTTGAGTATATCTCAGAGATGGTTAATGTGGTGTGTCATTTTACAAAATAAATTACAAAATTTTTTAAAAATGAAAACTAAGACTTGAGCACTATATATCAAACATACAGCTAGAATTCTCCCTGGAAGAAGAAAATCACTTGATTAAAATTGTCAAAGTAACAAATATAGGACATAGGCTCCATCGGATAAGCCGAGACATTGTTAACACTAGACATCGAAAAGGCAGAGGAATGTGTGCCAGAAATAACCCACATGGGAGCACAAATGCTTGCAAAGTAATTGAGAGGATGCCTGCCAATTGGCTTTAAGACAAGCCAGTTGGCATGGTTAGGGAGTGGATGAGGCAGGGTAGAGATGGGGGTGGGGGGGGGCTCATAAATGAAGTTGGCTATCATTTTGCATTCTTGAAGGAGATATGAGGTGAGGTTTACTTGACTTGTTTTCATCTTTTACATTTAACATTTTCCACTTCCTGTACACTTAAGCAACCAGGGTAGGTAGGGAAGGTGATAAGAGGACAACAAAGAAAAGCACCCAACAAAAGCAGATCCTTTATGTACATATGCAAAACAGATGCTGCAGAACTGTGAAAGCAAAACAACAATGAACAAATATAGCCCTAGATGATGCTTGCATCAAAGGGGAAATCAGAACTCTTCCCTGTAACTGATAGATATTGACAAGAATTCTGGTAGAATGCTAAAATGCAAACCAGGGAATTAGAAAGAGGGGAGAGGATGTCTAGCCAAGAAGGAATAAAGAAAGGCAGAATGCACAAAGTGTGGCCTAGAATGGAGTTCTTACTAGATGGATTTCAGAAAAATTATAATTGTCCCAAATCCACACAAGACATTAGAGCATGCCGGTGGTGCCCATCCAGGAAAGAGGAAGGCACCCAGGGATCACACTGTCCTTCCTGTCCTCAACCCATGCATTATCAGCCCTAGATGGAAGCGACTCCCATCAAACACCAAAGGAATAGAAAGGAAACTGAGATATTTAGAACATGACAATCAGGACTTTTCAAACCATTACATACAAGATGGTACCCTGAGGAGTTGTGAAGACGAGTGTTTTGTGTTATATAAAAGTCATTTTCTCTGTACTCATGAGGCTTACCCTGCTACACAAAGAGCCCCAGTGGGGTTCCGAAACCCAGGCTAATTCCAGACTTACCCTGCTACCTTTGTATGCCCCCCCCCCCCCCGCTTGCCACATACTTTTACACGCAGCTGCAGCTTTAATACGTGCTCCTGTGTGCTGTGCTCTGGTGCCCTTGTCATTGTCCTTTCCCTTTGGGACCTCCACTGAACAGGGACTTTGATAATTTATTGAACAATTTGATTAAGTGACCAGTGGACAGGTAGTCTATAAAAAAAATGGATATGCTGGACAAAGGAATAATTCCTGTCCTGGATAGAGAGAAGGGAACTGTGGGAGATTCCACCATGCTGTTTGGGATGACATGCAATTTAAAAGTTACAGATTGTTTATTCCTGAAATTTCTGTGCAATAATTTTGGGCTGTTGTTGGAGACAAGTAACCAAAACTAGGGAGAAGTAAATCATTGACATTTACATTTCAAAGGAGGTGCTGGAGGCATGGCTAGGTGGTTCCTAGTACTTGCTGCTCTTTCAGAGAATCTGAGTTCAGCTCTCACTGCCTCTATCCTCAGGAAGCTCAGTCATTCTCAGCTCCAGCTCCAGGAGATCCAGCCACCACTTCCAGTCACCACCAGTTCCATCACTCATTTGTACAAATGGACACAGAGATACATAATTAAACATAATAATAATAACAAATCATTAAAAAGGATTCTTTTGTTAGTGAGGAAATCCTTTTAGAGAGAGATTATTGTTTGTTTGTTTTTATATAAAGGACAAAGCTCCTCTCTAAGACTTGGGACAGGTATGGACAGGGTGGCATCGGGTATTTTAATGTCATTTGATAGTACTATAATTGTATTTATGATGTTGCTATAATTCACCTACAAAAAGCACTGATGTTGAGTATGGTAGGTGGACAGCAGTAACAGAGCCTTTATTCTGTGTTGGGAGCATTTCTGAACTCTTGGGATATATTAATTGCCACAAATACTGTATGACAGGGACAATATGATTGTTCTAAGGCCTATGCTCAAGTCATCAAGCATTCAGGAAGTCAGGGGACTGGTACTACAAGCCCCCAGGGAAATCTGATCCCAGATTTTGGGGGTTCAGAAGGGGACTTGGCTTACTACTCCCAGGTCCTAACAAAACTTTCTGCTTGCCACAGGGACCTGATGCCCAGAACCCTGGAAGGCCAGATCACCATGGAGAAGACACCCAGCTACTTTGTGACCCAGGAGGCACCAGCGCGCATCTCAGCCATGTCCAAGGACACCAAGCTCATCGTGGTGGTGCGGGACCCGGTGACCAGGGCCATCTCGGACTACACGCAGACGCTGTCCAAGCGGCCAGATATCCCCAGCTTCGAGAGCCTGACATTCCGCAACCGCAGCGCGGGCCTCATCGACACGTCCTGGAGTGCCATCCAGATCGGCTTGTACGCCAAGCACCTGGAGCCCTGGCTGCGCCACTTCCCTCTGGGCCAGATGCTCTTTGTGAGCGGGGAGCGGCTGGTCAGCGACCCAGCGGGTGAGCTGCGCCGCGTGCAGGATTTCCTGGGCCTCAAACGCATCATCACCGACAAACACTTCTACTTCAACCAGACCAAGGGCTTCCCGTGCCTCAAGAAGGCGGAGGGCAGCGGCAAGCCACACTGCCTGGGCAAGACCAAGGGTCGTGCGCACCCTGTCATCGCGCGGGAGGTGCTGCGGCAGCTGCGTGACTTTTACCGGCCCTTCAACCGCAAGTTCTACCAGATGACCGGTCGCGACTTTGGCTGGGATGAATAGCAGATATAATTTAAAAAGAAAAAAAATTATCAAAATATAATATATTTTTTTACCAGTCGGTAGAGAAAAGACATTTTAATATTTCTGTATTAAGTATGTGTTGTAGTAGTTTTCCCCCCCTCTTCAGTTCCCATTGGGTAACCAGCGTCAAACTTGCACATAGCAGAAAAGCAAATTTCGTGTATCTAAGACCCTCCCACTTCAGTTTGTTTATGTTCTGAACTTGCAATTGCAAAGGATAAGCGCTAGTCCCCACTAAACCGATTAAGAAAATTCCCAGGGTAAACCTCCCTTTTGTTAGGTACAGAAACCTGGTAGAATTGAACCTGGCCTTTCATTTTCCTACCTTTCTCAAAAGTCATGTCTCAGTTAATGGTGCTCTGTGTATGCACTGGGCGGTTTTCAGTTATAGTTTTAATCCTTACCCTGATGCTGCAAGCGTGAAGTGCATTTTTGAGATCACCATTTCCTGTTTAGAGGTAAGGAAACCTGAGTCTCAGGGAGGTTAAATGACTTATCTTGAAGCCAGGTGGTAGATCCTGGACACAATCCTGTCTGCCACTTTTTCTCTGTTTTATGATGGGGCTGTGGGGGTGGGGGATGGGGCGGGGTTAAGACACCTGGAGCTTTAGAAACTCTGGAGTGACCCCAAAAGGGCAGAGAGGGTTTGTTACTGCAATCCCAGTTCAAGACTGGCCTATGGGATGCAGCCTCATGACATAGCTGTATTCATGGAAGTTACTGAGATGGGGATACAAGCTCTCTGGGGAGCCCCTCTTGCCTCTTGGCTGATCAAAGCATGTGAAGCCAAGGAAACCTGACCCCTGGATGGCCATTTGATTTCCAGGGAAATGACTGCATTCTTCAATTGAGGGGATATGGGCAGAAACAACCAGGAGTGTAGCAGAGTGCCTCTTTCCTTGCATTTGAAAGAAACCCCCCCTCTTTGTAGTATCTCATCTCTGACCTCAGTTAAGAACACATTTCCAGCTTCCCGTTTTTCCACAGACCTGTCCATCAGTCACTTTCCCCACCTCCCCATTTCCTTCTCATATGAGTTATAACCCAAAGCTCATTGATGACTGGAAAACATCCTAAGAAATGCAGTTGTGGGTGGAATCCCACCCCTTCTTGCCCTTGCCTTGCCTAAATGACTCAAATGAATCAATAGTTTATTGAAAGTCCTCCTCGTTCTCTGAGTGGGTATTAACGAGATTAGCATTAATGGGAACTAAATTGCTTCAGTGAGAAGAAGCACATAGGCACCAAACATATATAGCATTCATAATTATTCTGTCAGCAACATTTTATTACAGGTTTAAGACCAAGAAGAAAATGTTTGCTTTGCCATCAATATTTTCTTTATCTACTAAAATTTAAAGGGCCAGATACTCTAGTATACTAAAATAGTAATCTGCTTTACTCTGGTCTCAATCAAGAGAAGCTAAGTTGTTTTACAATATGCTGGATGCTAGTAAGTTTGTCATAGGACATAGGACATCTATCACGGATTTCTACATCTCTAAAGAACTAACACAGGGTTTAAAGGAAGTGAAAACACCTTTTTAACTATCTCCATGTTTTGTCATCGTAGAGTTTGTTTGTTAGTATCCTGTTTATGGGAGGTAAGCCCCAAACTCAGGTCCCTTTTTCCTCTTTGTTTCCTTCACTGGGGCGCCCTCAGCACTCAGCTCCACAGTCTGTTTTTAGTCGATGTGTGCCATCACCAGCAGTCATGAAAGACTCATGTTATCTCTGCTCATCTTTTAATTTGTTCAGTTTGTGCGTCTGAATCTTTTGTATGCCTCTCTCTGCCTGCCATTATGCAAAAGCAGCTTGCACAAAACCAGAATTGTAGCTAACAGCTGCACTCAGTAGCCTTCCTCTTTTCCCATGGAAGAGATAATAAAAGAACAAAATTGAGTGCAAATGATCTCTTGCTTGTAGATGTTTTTGTTCGTGTAATTTAAGATATGAATGAAAGGAGCCCTCCAGGCAAACTTTCAAACTTATAAGTGTCCTTAAAGGTGTCTAAAGTTTTCAATCTTGGGCTAATGGATAATGAACAAGACTGGGTTTCTCTCAGTTTCAACAAGGAAAAGGGACAAAACATTTCTGCCTTCAATGGAGAGCCCACTCCTGCTGTGAATGGAATTGGCCTCCCATTTATGTTGTTCATTTAGCTGCACTAAACAATAGGCTTTGATCTCAGGTGGAACATGAGGGCCCTCCTTCCTTAAGCTGTCTTCTGTGAAGCCATACTCACCCCACCCCCTGCCTGTGCTTTTCTTTGGGCTAGAACACCATTCAGAACAGCAGCTTCAGGCTGAACCCTTAGCTTTGGAGCCATGGGTACAGCCTATGAGAGTATCCCTCAGTGCCTGAGATCCAGTGATTGTATTCCAATATCTGGGCATTAGTAGGCTTCTAGAAAATAGATATTGAGTCCTCCAAAAAGATTAAAAACACTCTAGTTTTCTTACGTCTATAAGATCTTCAACCTTAAAATAAACTTCAGTGGCACTATGACTCAGACCCTCAGCTTGCATTCCAATGGAGAGTTTAAAAACATAGATGCACCAGTCAATGCCCAATCTTCCAATTTTGCAGCTGCAGATGGGATGTTTTTCCCTTCATCCTTATCTGTTGTGCCAGCTGAGCCATACCAAAGCTGTCATCCTCAAAGGGAGTCTGTACAATAGTAAAGCCTCACATCCCAGAGCAGACTACCCCCTTCAGCAGCTGAGAGCAGTGACTGCTCTTCCAGGGGACCCCAGCTCAGTTCCTTGCATTCATATTGCAGACTCAACTGTGCACCCGGACCCAGTGAGGCACTGGCCTCTGGAAGCATTACTAGCAAGTGCGTGCACATGTGCGCGCGCGCGCGCGCACACACACACACACACACACACACACACACACACACACGGCTTGAAATAATCATTACAAAATAAAGTAACATACCATCTCACTGTAAACAGCAGCTCGCATTAGCATTGCTGTACAAATGGAGGAAGTTAAGATTTATGAGTGTGGTCCTTAACAAACCCTAACTTTGCATAACATGGAAATGTGGAGAGGCTCTTTGTGTGTGTGTATTTGTGTGTGTGTGTGTGTGTGTGTGTGTGTGTCCAGAGGTAAGAGCTACTGATATCTCAAAGACAGATGTTTCAGCTGCTACCAAATATCCTGGACTACCCAGATGGACCTCCAAGACAAAGAACGGTGTCAATCAAGATGCCAGTCATGCCCAAGTTCCCAGCTTAAAATCAAGTCAGTAATAAGACCAGTATATGTCTATGAATAAAAGCTACATTTGTCCTAATGCTTGGCTAATATCCTCACAGCCACCATTTCAGCATTTATTTTGGAACTTGTAGTGAGGATGTCCAAGTTTGATGCCTTTTGCCAAGAGAAGTATTAAAGAGAAAAATATAGGGCTTTTCTAGTTGCAGTTTCAGGAGCAGCTCCTAACTGATGGATAAGCAGGATCGGTGAAAATCAGGTGGGAAAATAACGACCCAACAAAACAGACACTCTCAAGTTCAAATATTATAGTTTCAATTTGTATCTGTAATGCCATGATAGCATTTCTTGACATATGACAAAACAGAGTGGCTAGAGAGAAGTAAATAACCCCATTTATTCTAAATGACTCAATTCAGATGGGTAATACAGTTATCAATGTCCTCAGATTGCTAAATAATAGCAAAGATGAGGGAAATTCTTACTGCTCTGAAGCACAGAAACCCTTGTGTTTTCTTACTCTAGAGCCATAGCTCTAAACACAGGGCAAGTATCACTCAGTCCGTGGAAGACACTCTGTAAGAATTCACTCAATTCTGCAGCATCAAAGAAAAAAAGGACTTCACTATCCCAAACCTTGGCCCCCTTTGGGAAACATCAGTGTTACTGTAGTATCCCTGGTCTTTTAAACATTGTCATCAACATGCAGATACATCTATATTCAGTCTCAGTCCTGTGGGAAGAGAACATGAGTAGGGAGATTATGGACCTGTTCCTTGGATAATGGAGTGCTGGAATGGCAGGTTTTCCCTTTAGGACCTGACAAAAGATGATTCTGGGGAAATTATGAGTTCTTGCAACATTCAGAATGATGTTGCAAGTGATAACATAGTGGGGTTTAACTGTGCTGGGAGGAAATAAAACTAAAAAATAGAAATTGCTTCTAATATATGGACCAATGATGATGTATTAGGCAATATTAGTATGTTTGGGGTTATAACCTACATTTTTTTTAGTTTATTTTCTATCTGTGAGTGGTATTACATACTCTCCCCTAGTTTTACTGTCAAATTAAAAGCAATAGGGAACACATTCTGATGCATCTTTTTCCTCCCTACAGTTCTGGATGTGGTAGTCTTGATATTTCGAGGTTTCCTAGCCTTTCCAAATATACACATTCAGTGATGTTCATGTTCTGTTGCAGGCTCCTGGGGAAAGTCTTATAGTACACTTTGAGCAACTACCAACTTCAGCTCCCAGACAGCAATGAGAATGCCTGATGTCAACAGCTAGGAAGGCATAGGTGCCTCTGTCACCCAAGTGATTTCCACAATGAGAAGATGTCCCAAAAGAAGAGGTTGAAGCAGTGTCAAAACATGAGTCACATTTTCATGCACTTGGCTTCCAGTGCCTCATGGCACCTCTCACCACCAGTGGGAGGGATCCAGCCAACAACTTGGCTTTCTTCTCGGAAAGATTGCCTGCCACCAGGCTGCTGGGGGTATTTATCTCCTACCTCTTTTACCAGAAAGCAGCAGAGTATAGGATTCTTCATTTCAAGCTTCTAACAGCCAAGCACACAGGGAATTGTAGGATGCGGGGAAGTTTTCTAGTAATTTCACTGTAATTTTTCCATCCATTATCTAGGGCATTGACAGATACCGGTAAAGCCAAACCTCATCCTTATCCCTGACTTTAGGATCTTAGCAACAGTTCTTCTGTTACTAACAGACCAACTAAATATTCTACGGTACTGGACCTTCCTGTAGAACAAGACAGCACAATCACACTCTGCTTAAGGATTAAATGCGTTTTCCTTTCATTACAGATTTAAAAACAATTATACAATCCATCGCAGCTTTTTTCATTGCCTGTAGACCCACTTCTGCCCACAACCAAATCTACTCCTTCACCCCCAAAGCCACCAAATTATCTGTGCCACAAGACCACCAAGCCCTTCTTTCTTCTCCAAAGCAATCACATTTGTCAGGGTAAGAGGGAATGCCACTGCCTTTGAATTATGCCACTGTGTCTCTTACCTCATTCAGAGATGTCCTCACATTACCCCTGCCCTGAGCTTTGGGGCTATATCTTGTATCTTTCTTTCCCTGCTTCTGAAATAGTTTTGTAAGAAAGACTCAGCAAGGAAACTCTTAGTAACAGCTTCAAATGGAGTCTCTCCTGATCCATTCATTTTGTTCCTTTAATTTTACAGGCTTCCCCCCTCCACAACCTCAAATAGTAAAATTTAGCAATGAGGAAACTCCCTCTCGTCTCTTTGATCTGGTCCAGACAGGCTGCTGTG